TTAGCATGTGCTGGGGTTCTTCCACATTGGACAGATCATCCAATGGGGCAGATTTTGATGGGATGTAATGTAATCAAATCTTGCTGAATAAATCACTCCTATGCTATTGTCTAGCAACACAGGCTTAACCCTCCACAGTGATGAGTCTCCGTTAATAGTATCAGAAACATTTGTTTTTCACAATAGCAATGAGGTGTACTGGAAACATATTTTACCACTTTATACAGTTTAAGTGCTCTGAGCTTTGATGGGCTACATGGAAAAATGTTGATGGTTTCATTATTTAAGTTCCTCTTGCATAAGTCAATGAGACAAATTAATCTTTAAAATTGTACATTTTTTCACATGTAATAATCACTTTTGGTTTTAATGTCATTTGCGGGATTAAATAAACAGCAAGGACAATATAGAAAGCAGAAAAGATGTAAATAAAACAGGGCGAGGCTACAGTGCATTCCCCTTACTATTCTTTCAGGAGGAAAACTCTGGTGATAAACAAAGTAATAAGAGATTTTAATACCATTGCTATATTTCTCTGTAGGCTATTACTTTTTCTAGGCAGTTGCCCTATTAGAAACTCGTAAAATATTCTTTAGCATTTCAGACAAAAGCATCCAGGTCAAACACCCAGGACCAAATGTTGATTTCAGAGCCACATGTGACTTACTACATATTATATATTAAAACGAAAATTATGACATAAGCTGTTGCTTTATGTTATACTGAGCACTGATGGTGAGTCTTGTTCTGTTGACTGACCGTCATTTGATGGATTTGTAGGACGTGATTATATGGGGGTTTTTTGTCCTTTGCTATTTAAAAGTAGCCCCTAGGTACTCTCTTTGTTGGCTTCATTCTCAGAGGTCAGCCTGGTTTATGGATGGTCTGAAACAAACGAAGTGAGAGGGAGATGGCTAGAAAACCAGGGGTGGGAATCTCATGCTAAGACTGACCAGCTGTACTGTAAAGAACTTTTTTTTAAATTTCCTAAGCTATAGCTGCGCAGGAAGCAAAGATAAAATTATTTTTCTCTACAATAGTATCCTCAACATCTGACGGCAGATTTGTTCTGGGTGACAAAGAGTCTGGTACATCTGGATGGTTTCAATCAGCTCAATAGCTGGTCTGATTCCCTCCCGTTGTGAGGAAATTGTTTACTCTTCTGCAGACAAGGCTGATCAAATTAGGGATGGGCTGTTTGCTTCTATGGTGATTGAGCCAGGTCTTGAGGGAACAAAAGCTTTGTCTTCTCTTCTGGAGTTTCAGCCAGTGATACTCCCTGAGGCACTGGAAGTGGCCCTGAGAACTTTATCCTGAAATCTGCCCCTTCTCCTTCCTTGCTGGGGAAGATCAGCGGGGAAGTGTTGGACTCCTTATTTGTAGATATTGCCAGCACCTCTTTTAGAGGGGACGAGCTGTCTGTTGTTTTGGAGGAAACAGGACAGTAGCCTTTGCTCAGGAAGTCAACATGGGGAGCTGGCAATCTTGCTAATGATCAACAATATCACATCTTCCCTTTCTGGGTAGGATTGTGAGAAGGTTGGGGCAAGACAATTCTCAGAGTGTCTAGATGCCTGTGATCTCCGTGACCCGTGTCAATCTGGGTATAGACCTGGCTATGACACAAAAACTGCCCTGGTGCGTTGGTCAGTGATTGCCTCCTGGTGATGGATGTAAACCAGGATTCCGTGCCAGAATTATTAGTTGTGTCAGCTGCCTTTAATATGGTTGATCTCACAAAGTGCTGCTGACTTGTCTGACCAGGTCAGGTAGGAACAGACCAGGTCACTTTTCAGTGGTTTTGTTCTCTTTCCTCAGCAGGCAGCTGTGGACAATTGCTCCTCTTCCTGAAGACTCCTCTGTGAGATGCTGTAGGGTGGCATTCTGTTATCTCTCTTGTTCAACATGCACAAAAGCCCACTAGGATCATATATAAAGAGGCATGAGGCTGAGTGTGTCAGCATGCCTGTGGCTCCCAAAAGTATGTCTCTATCTTATCCCATTCTGCACTTCAACCCCAATTATCTCGGTGAGCCTGGGACACGAATGGCTGGAGCTCACCACAGATTGTACTGAGGTGATGAAGACGGGTTGGAATATGTTGCTGGAGAACAGGGAGGAGGTAATATCAACCCCTCCCACTGACGGAATGTATGTCTGCCCACAGTTCCATTTCATCCTCCACAGTTGATATCAACCCAGGGGTGACTCTACAGCACATGCTGCGGTGTGGTGCACATGTTACAGCAGTGACCCCAGCTTGCATCAAGCTAGGAGGTTGCAGCCTTTCCTGTCAGACACAGGCCTTGCCACTGTTATCTGTGTTTTTTGTCACCTCAAGATCAGAGTACAGCAATGCACTCTACATGCAGCTGCACCCTAAAGCTATCTGGAGACTGAAGCGGGTGCAGAATGCAGCGGCTTGCTTACTGAATGGGACATTTCACCGGGGACACACGACCAGAGAGATCCAGGATCTGTGCTGGCTGGCCACGTGTCTCCACATTGGTTCTGACCTACAAATCCATACATGTCTTGGAGCTGGCCTACTTGAGCTATTGCTTTTCACTCCATGCTACAATGCCACAGCTGTGGTCAGCAGGAGCACTCAGACTGCACCCAGCTCATTATAAAAGAGAGAAGGGGGCTGTTGGCAGGATGTTCTGTCAGCTCTGAGGCTCTGAAACTTGCTCCTTCCCCTCTGGTCTGAAATAACTAAATTTGGTGGCTTTCCAGGCATACTGCGAAAGACATCTGTTTGATGTGCTTCTGGAGAAGGCTGTGGATATGCTTCCGAGATGATGAAGGTTCCAGCCAAATTCCTGTAGGACTGATTTTAATGGTGCTGAGGTATAATATAATTGTATGTACTGTATCATTAATTATGTTAGGGTGCCTACGCCCTTGGTTAGACGTCTTTATTATTTTAAATCTAAATAAATCTGTCTATAAAACATATAAAACACAAAGGACTAACTCATTAGGACCATATTACTGTACTGATGACCTGGTAAAATGTTGGGAGGTGGACAACAAAAACACTTTATTGGTATTCAATACATAAATATCAGTAATAATGAGCAATAAAATCCCCATCCGGAACAGAGATCTGTGATCTTATTTTGCCTACTATGTGCCATCATACTGGGAAAATATTTTCATTACTCTTAACAACCCATTAAGTAAACAACACAACCCAAGGAAAGTTCACCAGGAAAAGTCTCAACTTCCCCTTTAAAGTTCTTCACACCAACATCCAATGATACATATTTCAGCATAGAGTCTCCAATCAGACTTCATTATGTATGAATACAACAGCAGTTCTTACCAAGTCTTATTCCTGGGGGAATTCTGCACCATTGCACAACAGAAAATTTTGCAGAAATTAATATTGTGCATTCACAATTTCCTGTCCCTCACAGAAATGGGCTGACGTGCTACGCTAGCCATCATTAGGGGTTCTATAGTTCATAACCAGTCTCTGGATCCAGCAGAGCCCAGCTTGCACATGTTGGAAGGCACTGCTGGGGTAGGAGGAGTGAGCTAGAGAGTTCCTGCAGCTGCAGTACCCTGCATGCCCAGAGGAGAGGGTGGCATGCAGGAAACTGCAAAACTGGGGCCGAGTATTAGGCTGTTTCTTTCTCTGGATCCCTGGGCTGGGGATGGGGGATGGGCATCTGGGTCAGGGGGCTCCTGGGGCTGGGTTCTGGGGGAGAGGGGATGTGGGTATTTGGGCTGGGAAGACCCGGAGACTGGGCGTGGAGGGAGGTTTGTGGGTGTTTTGCCCTCTGGCTGGGCTGGAAAACAGGAACTGGGTTATCACATGGGTTTCTTTTAACACTTTACTCTTGGGGAAAATTTAGTCAGTCTGCATTGCTACAGATATACTTGCTGACTGGTATTTTGAAATAAATTTCCAAAATAACTGCAACTAACTCAATTATGTAGTTGGTATCATGAGCTTTCGTGGGCACAACTCACTTGCTGTGTCTATGAAAGCTCATGATACCATCTACATATTTTTTTAGTCTCTAAGGTGCTCTCAGACTAACTTGGCTACCCCTCTCAATCAATTGTGTAGTGTTATTTTGACAAATAAAATGTGCAGATATTTGCAAAATTTTAAATTATTGTGCACAGAATTTTTTTTTTTTGGGTGCAGAATGCTCCCAGGAGTAAAGACCCTTAAATCCCACTGCAGAGTAGGGATGTTAGCGACTAGCCGCTCCCCACCCCTTGCTGCCTCTATCAGAGGCAGTGGGGGGTGGATAGTGGATGATGCTGGGAAGCTGCCTCTGTCTGCAAAGGGCCCAGAGGCAGGTGCAGAAGCAGTCTTTGTTCCCCGCAGCCATAGTGTCTGCCACGAACAGGAGCTGCTGGACTCAGTGTGATCACTGGACCTCTGATTGCTGAGCCTAGTGGCTCTTACTGCTTTTAAAATACAGAGTGGCAGCACGGGTGGGTCTGGAGCCGGCTCCTGGAACTACCTCTAGTGTGGCGTTTATATCAACTAATCATATAATCGATACAAATTGTATCGACTATATGATTAGCCAAATAATCACATTTTAACATCCTTACTGAGTAAACAAATGTATAGCTTTTCAAAGGTCTTTCCATCTTACAGAGGTATGTTTAAAATAATACACATTATGGCATTTTGCAACTGAATGAAATGTGGTTTACAGCTGTATTTTGCCTAGCTGTTATCAATGATATTCCATGATTGGATATGAACAATTTGTCAGAGAAGGAGAGCATATCTTTTGCTGCATTATTTAAATACTTCAGATGCTTGGCCCGAATACAGAAGTGACACACTACGAAAACATTTGCAGCTGCAGGAGCAACCAAACTATTGCAATATTTTCATTAGACTGACCACTTCAGCACAAATCAGAGGGGATTTTTTTATAGCTTTTCTATACAGTATTTTCTTATAATAGTGAAACTGAAAAACTGGAGAGAATTTTCTAAGACTCTTGAAAGCCCTGGCTTACCTGGCTCCACTTCATGCCATCCACTTGACTGACTGCCACTTCCTGGAGAGCGCCCTTGGCTTGTATAAAATGGCTCTTCACCAGGACTATCCATTTCATCCTCCACAGATTTGAGGCGTTTTGTAGAGCTGAAACAGTAAAACATACAATACAGTATATGCTGAAAGGAAACAAAGGTATTTCTCTATTGGTATATTTCTCAGTAGCATGAGAAGAGACCAACTGGGTTAAGTTTAGTGACACGTAAACTGACAGAGTTACAGCATTGATTCGGGAGTGATTTCCATTCTTTTCACTCCTCCCCACAAAACTGAAACCATGTTCCTCAGTCCTGATCTTTTTTTCAGACTCGAGTCTGCTGCATGCCAGAATTGTCACCCTTTCTGAACTGTGCCAAGTCTGAAGTTGATTTTGTGACACAGAACAATCTCCAATACAGACTCAACTGAGGTCACCAAACTCATTCCAAACTGGAACCAAAGCTATTTTAAAATTTGGATTTTCACAGATGACAGGCTAGGACCTTATCCAAAGCATTCTGAAGTCAAAAGAAAGACTCCCATTGACCTCAGTGGTTTTTGTTTCATTAACTCACTATGTCGTCAGCTATCAAATAATTTATATTAAACAGATTATATTACTGACAGGTAGACCTACATTTTAACTATCTTGTTTTCACCCTGTCTTATTGTGAATTCCATATTCTCCCTTTGTATGCATTTTTATATCGTCAAGACTTTCTTTTCCCTAATGAAAAAATCATTTTGGCAGTAAACCCAGCTTCATGGAAACTCCACAATAATAACCCAATGCACGTTGGTGATGGAAAAAATTGAAAAGATATTTCAGTTTTACATCGTCACTAGTTGTTTTAAGCTAACATTAAATTTTACTCTGTACCTAATTTTTTCAGTGACTGATGTCTGACATAGTTTCTGGATGCTGCCTTGCATTTAAGAAAAAACAGAACAAAAAACTTGCTGACTAATGTCAATATTGAAAGATTCCCACACGGCACTCACCCTATACAATATCTCCCCACACTCAAAGCTAGGCAAAAAGTTGAGAGAAGGGAGGATCTTTGCACTGTGCTCTGAAGGTCAACTGATTCAGAGTGTGGCAGATTCCAGTGCCAAGGGCCCACAATCTTGGCTGTTTGGAATAATGCGATGTACAGAATGCTCTAGGATATTACTGTGAATGTGTCCTAACAAATTTTTCTGGCTCTTATGTCTCTTGCCAGCTCTTTATTCTGCGGGATCCATTCTACCAGCACTGTGTAAGAGCCCTACCTACCTAAATGTCCCACAGAGTAGAATAGACTCTTTTGTGTATCAGGGTTGTGGATGGATATAAAACATTACATTGGCATAATTCCCATTGAGCTAAATCTTCCAGCCTTTACTGAGGCAAGACTCGCTTTAATGTCACCCTTAGTTCTGCCTGAGTAAGAGCTGCAGGATTTGAGAGTTCTAAATGCAAAGCTGAGGGATGAATGTTTTATGACATGTGCGGAATGCAGGTTCTGCTATAACTTATTTTAAAGTATCGTTGCATGATGGAAGGATAGTGATAGAAATGTAGCCGTGTTAGTCTGGTGTAGCTGAAACAAAATACAGGACTATGTGCAAGTACTGCCTGATACTGCCACTGAGTCTGTGTATTTAACAAATATTTTATTTCTAACTGGGAACACTCTAATGAGAGAAAACAAACATACTACCAAGTTATTAACTACTGGTGATGTTTATAATTAGCTCCTTATCAGTGCTAGCTATTTGCAGAAGAATAGAAGAGTGATAACTGAGCTTTTAAGTAACACTAATCACCTGCCTTTTTCACTCCTGGAGTCATAAGAAAACTCTTGCTGTGAGTGACTTTAATGATGAGCCTTACACATACAGAATGCTGAACACATGTGAAAAAACTAACAGCACAAACTTTTAAACTGATTACTGCCACATGTAATGAGAACCGCATTTGCTAAGCTTCAGAATGCTGACTGAGCTCATGTGTACAGAATGTTCCTTCAATCACTGCAAACTATAAGCTAAAAAGTTATTGCTAGGAGACTAACTACTTGCATAGAAAATAAAAACAGATACACTCAAAAGATATATACATTTTTATGGTGTGCTTGCTTTTTGCTAAGCTGGTGGCACTGAAGACAGAGATCAGAATCCAGAAGAAACTCAGGATGAAGTGAGAATTTCTTGTTATGTCTTTGCTAGAACTGATCATTTTGTCTGGCGGACAAACAAAAATCAATCTGGTTCCTTAATAGCGTTCAAGATGTCAATGGTGACTAGGCTTATTTATAAGTTCAATCTCATGGATGGTTAAAGTAAAAAAGACAGAGTAAAAATACCCTTGTCTGCTAGTTTGCATCTAAGATATAGATTCAGGCTTGATAATAGCCTGCATCAAAAATTCAGTTGCTTCATTGTATCAGAAAATTCATAAAGTCACATAAAAAGTAAATGGATTAAAGGCCAAGTCTTCAACACTGTTAGTTTTGAAGCTAACACTTATATGTATACAAAATACATATAAGTTAATTTGATCTGATGTCCAGTCTCTTTTCCTTCTACACAGGGCAAGCTATGTTCCTTCCAAGAAAAATACTCAGCGACATTGTTTTACTATGATCCTGATTCTCCTTTCTCCTCCTTTCACTTATACCGTTGAAACTCCACTGATTTTAGTGGAATTACTTGTGATTCTAAACAATTTCAGTGACAAAAGAATAGGAACCTGTGTGTGTCTGCAGGGTTTTTTTTTTTCCCCAAAACTGGATTATAAGTAGAGAGCTTAATATAGACTGAGATAGACACTCAAATTTGTGTTTCTGAAAAGACTCCCCATTCCCTGTCCCCACTAGAACACATCAAACAATGTAAATACTGAACAATAACTTCCACATGAGCATTACTTGTAATCTGGGTTTCACAAGTAACCGAATAGCATATATATATCAAATTACCTGGTAGAGGATGTGCTAGGTAAAGACCTCCTCATTGCTCCTGGGCTCATGCTGTAGTATGAAGAACTTTCCAAATCTGAGAGGGAGAAATTTGGGCCTGTTCCTGCAGCTATTGGTGCTAGGGAAACAAAAGAAAGTGAAGTCAGTAAGTGAATAAGGACTCAATTATGCATCAATACCCACAGTGAACTGGCACTCTAATCAGGAGCATATTACAATTATATGATGCTGCTTGGTGCCGGGAATGTTTGTTTTTTTGGTCTTTTGTATAATGCCTAGCACAATGTGATCCTGGTCCCTGCCTAGGCTTCCTACAATAATACAAATAAATAATAATGATATAATAATGTGAAGACATTCTTACTTTCTTTTCAGGTCAGTCTTTTCGGTACCATCAATTCTAATTATACGAAGCAAAAATCTTGGATTCCTTTAAGAAACTGCTGCCATATTGTAATGTTCTTAATAACAGCTCTTGAAACATCCTGATTAGGCACAACTCTGAGTAGAGGGCATGTTGCACCATCCCTACCATGTGCCTGCCCAGTCCGTGAGCTCCTGTAGATAGGAAAGGGGCACAGGTGCCACCTCTTCCCAGGACATTTGGGAATGCTATGTACACCGATATGTGCATAGAGGCTACAGTTTCTATAGCCTTAGAGGCTGAGCTGAGGCGCTATGACTCTCCAAAGCCCCTGTGAGAAGTATGCCTGGGGCTGAGACTCTGCCTCCTTGAACCTGTGTGGCGGCCAGAAGCAATTTGCTTATTATTATTATTATCCTAACAACAATTTTCTTTAAACTTCTGTAAGGGCCACCACTATTATGACTCACCTGATTCTAATACACTTGCCTAGAACACTGGTTTTAGACTAGGGGTACGTCTAGACTACATGCCTCTGTCGCCAGAGGCATGTAGATTAGGCTACCAGGCATAGGAAAATGAAGCGGCGATTTAAATAATCGCCGCTTCATTTAAATTTACATGGCTGCCGCGCTGAGCTTCTGTAAGGGCCACCACTATTATGACTCACCTGATTCTAATACACTTGCCTAGAACACTGGTTTTAGACTAGGGGTACGTCTAGACTACATGCCTCTGTCGCCAGAGGCATGTAGATTAGGCTACCAGGCATAGGAAAATGAAGCGGCGATTTAAATAATCGCCGCTTCATTTAAATTTACATGGCTGCCGCGCTGAGCTGACAAACAGCTGATCAGCTGTTTGTCGGCTCAG